GCAGAATATGTGACAGTCCTGTTATTACAGCATTTAATTTGGAGAAGAAAAGGTAACTATTGCCAATTTGTTACCAAATTATTGGAGCAATACAAAAATCTACAGCCTCCCTGCTCATCCACTATAAATAGTTAAACAGACAAAGTGGACTGGAAAACACCAGAGTGGAAGCCATTACAAATTTTTCTTAGGCACCTTAGGTGATATAAAATAATAAAAAAAAATAAATTAAATAAAAAAAACTCTCCGGAGGTCATATATTATGAGGTGAGGAAACAGGCCTGTTTTATATTATATAATCCTCAGAGATCTCTAACGCAGCACATCATTAGAGAAAGGTTCCTATAGATAAGAGACAGATAGAAAGTTTTGCTACAGTAGGATACCGTTTATCAGAGAAAGCTAATTAAAACCTGACCAAACTGTTATTGAGAGTTTTAGTTATTGGATATCCATTATTAGATGGAAAAGGAATATCAATTTAAATATGAGACCAGCAACTCACCGGAGTAAAACATAAAAATTTATCAGAAAAATAATATAGTCTCTATAATGTACTTTTTTGGTGGGTGTGTGTGTTACTTGCAGTCTGTTGAACCGGGGGTCGCTCCAACGGCTCCCTCACTAGTGGTAGAGTGACCTCACTTCTGTGCCTGATACCTCCCTTGCTGAGAATGGCTTCTCTGTCCTCTCTGGCCTCCATGATAGGGTGGTGGACCCCCATGATGAACTGAGCTTCTGCCACATCCTCCTCTGCCCCCACGTTTTTTATGTGGACAGTTTCTGGCCCAGTGATCAGGTTTGGCACAGATGTAGCAGCAACCATCATTTGGAGAGCTGTTCTTGTCTGAGGGCTGCATGGACAGGTTGAACAGTTGACTGGCAGTTTTGGAGGAGAGTCAGCTGTGCCTCAGGCTGTTATTTTCTTTTCCCGTTGCACACATTTTCTATCACAGTGACTCAACTTGTTCTTATGGCGGCCCCTCCTTGAATGAAGAGCTGGTCCATAGGAGAGCTGGTCCAGAGGAGAGCTGTTCCATACGGGGCTGTTTGCAGTCTGTTGAGGATAGTGGCTCCTATTTAGTGACCATGGAGTAAAGGTGATAGATGGATCTCCGCTGTTGGCCCCAGGGATACTAGAGTCTGGGTGTGAGTCTAGTTGGAGGTCAAATGACAGTGTCAGTTCACCCCCTCGTTCCTCCTCTGGTTCGGCTCTCTGAGAACCAGGGTAATAAAAGTCGTCCTCTTTTAGAAAAGGATTTGTAGCCTTCGTTTGATAAGGTGGATGCCGAGCAGAGAGCAGCAGGCTTGTGGTAAACTGGGATACAGGGTGGAGGTGCTCAGTGGTGCCGTTGGAGACAAACCCACAGCCACAACAGCCAAAGCAGAAGAGTAAAAAAAAGAAAAGAAAGATGTGCATTAGTAAATAGAACAACAGTGAATTTTTTTAAGTTGTTCCTATCATTATATTAAATGTTATATTCTATTAAAAGATATTTTTATTTATCTTTTTTTTTTCCTTTTTCTTATTTTGAGCGCTCACAATTACTCCGGATCATTGCTTTCTCTTTTTATTTTGTTGCAACACTTGGTCTACTTTGCCTTAGTAGGACCTACAGTTTCTCTTTAAAAAAAACTCACTCTTAGCCTATTTAAGGCCTACTTTTTGTTATAACAATTTTTTAGTTTTTTTTTCTTTTTTACCTTTAAAGGAGTTTTTTTTAGTTTTCTTCCTCTCTCAGTCTCCTGAAGTTATTGTCCTCCTGTCGAGATCAATCCACTCAGTGGAGCATCAGAAAAGTCCTCCTTCTCTAAAATGGCCTATTTGAGGTAGAGGAAAAACCCATATGGTTTGGTGATCAGCCCTTCATCTAGAATCCACCGAGCAGACAGATCAGCGAAGGATCCTGTTCGTGACGCCAAATTGTGGAGTAAAAATGAGCACTGAGAGTAAGGAAGTAAAAAAAATTGTATTCCGCTCTGCAGAGGAGAACCACACGAGACAGCTGCGTATAGCATCCAGTGTAGCTCTGACTAGGTCCTGCCCCACCTTTGCATTATAAAGACTCCTTACACACGAACATTGAGTCTTTCCAAGAGAAGCACTTCATCAAAAGACATAAATATATGTTCAGATAAACATTTCAGACAACTGTTCTCCGTTCACACCAGAGACAGGACGTGAGGATCTTAAACACAATAAGGACCTGTTTATCTNCTGCGGGAGTTTACGGGGACGAAAATCTCACTTTTCATGCAGTGGGCTTATCGGCAGAAACATTCATTTGGCAGATGAGGGGGACACATTCTGCAGCCATTCCAGCATAGGCAGGTCCAGGGTTGAGTGTGGACGGGACTGGGAGATCACCACTGTAGCCTTTGTAAAGTTTAGATCTGAAATAACACCATTAAGCAATCAATAACTTGCTTTATTACTTCATTAAACTATTTATCAATTTGTGAACCACATATTGTTATCTAAAATACACAGGCTAGACGACATTTTCTTCTCTTACAACAAATCGTATTCTACCTAGATAAATGATCTATTACACACCTAATTCCACTGACTGCAGTAGCACCTGGTTTTGATTTTCTGACTACCATGGTGTCGACAGGTCCCGGCTTCACTCCCTGATTATACAGAACTTGATGTTACGAGAAAAGGCACTAGTAAAAGGAGATGCAAGTGTTCATTCAAATTATACAATCCATTGATCGGGGTTTATGCCACTTCTGTTCAGTTTGTGTGCAAACAAGGACTGGAGGTACCGCTGACATACCACTTGGAGAGTAATGGGCTGTTTGATATAATAACGCAAGTGGTTGCATATTTCACAACCAGCTACACAGGAACAGTGGCTGTTGACCAGTACAACTGGCTGTGAATCACGTATTGTCAGCTGAAAAACAGAAACAAACTCAAAAAGATTTTTTAAAGATGAGGCTCACAAAGAAGCGTAATTGGAGTAAAACTACCCTCTACTGATGTTGGTGAGGCAATGCACTAATTTGATTTTTTACAGTCATTCAATTTGAGGAAGAAATTTCTAAATAAGTATAACATATAGTCCAATGCTAGCTAGCTAGCTATACATACATACATACATATATATATATATATATATATAATTTTTTTATGTTGCATTTTTAAACTAATATGACTTATACTCTAGAGCAACTTACAGCCTGTAAAGTACAGTAATAATAATAGTATACAGCGATTTCTTTCAACAATAAAAAACCTGCTCGAACACAGAAGCCTAATGCCACCAACAACAAAACAATGTAGTTTTCTCCTGTTACCTCTTGCTTAGGATCAGAAAATAAATCAACTAAGAGACATGTTCACTAAAGTTGAAGCCATGTCAGAGAAATAGAGGACAGGCCACATGATAGTGTTTGGAAACATCATCATAGCCCTAAGAGTTTCCTTAAATTGCATATTCTACAGTTTTGTTCTCTTGTTATATCTGTTGGAGGATATCAAATGTGTGCGATTATAATCTACTCAGTGGCAGCTGGACAGGACGACAGGAAACGATAAGTTTTACTGAAGAAAATATCAAGCCTCAGTGTCTTCGAAATATAACAGTTCTGTTGAAAAACTTTTTAAAAATTAAGCTTTTACAGAGATAATCCGTAGTACATTTGATGCCCCACGAACCTTCAGCCCTAACATAGTTTTCAATCATTTTTGTTATTTCAAGCTTCGAAAGAGCCCACCCTGCTATATCACCCTGAGCAAGAGCCATTTTGGCCAAAGGCTCCAGAGAAAACCACAAAACCCACTCCATTAAGCCCACTCAGCTTGCATTGCATTAAAAACAAGTTTCTAAGTCAGCTTTATTTTTTCTGAGGCTTTTCCTGTTAAAGGAAACTGAGGTCGTAGTTAAGTTCGCGGTGGAGTCAGAGCCAAAGGCATAAATCACAATGAGGAAAGTTATGTACAGTATAAGCTTTTTGAAACCGCCCGGACCTCAAGCACCATCCAGCGTCACTATCCACAAATATTCATGCAATTCATGTTGGAGGAGTTGTTCAAACAGGAAGGTGGAGCTAAAAGTTTGGGGACTTTGATAGAAATCTCCTTCCCTGTTTTTCTTTCCTCAATGTGGGAGCAGCTGCTTGTTGGATCCTAAGCTTGCAGGAATAAGGAGCAGTGAACGCACCATGGGTCTATTCAGCTCTCTGAGTGCCATCATCACCAGGGTTTTATTTATTCTGGTTGCTCTGGTCGCCGTCTGGAGGGTGACATTCGTCAAGGAAGATCCCTTTTACTGGTTGCTGACTTTACTCTTTGTGCCGCTTGTTGCTGAAATGATAATAACACTGAAGTGGCGAGAAGGACAGGATTACAAATGGTAAAACATTTTATGCATGTGATTAATTTTATCATATACTTTATTATAATTGATATGAACTCTCCTTAAAACTAATCTTAAATACCATGCTGCACATTAAGATTAAGTGCTAAAACAAACCTAATAAGTAGTCTATAATCTAAACTATAATCTAAACTTCTATAATCTAAAGCCATCTATTCCCATGCATCCTGCTTTCTCATTGAAATTGTCCTGGGATTATAAAACCTGCTCAGGGACAGAACATCAGAGTCAGCCCTCATTAAGCAGCCTTATTTGTTATGTGGTTCAAAAAAACAACAACATTGCTTTTGATGCTTTATTTAGAAGATGCTATCAGAGAATAATGACCCCATTTCCTTGTTTTCTTTGTGGTTGGATAATAGTAGAGAATATTTTTACAGTCTTTCTTTAATAATTCATCAAGTCATTAAAAAACTGCGGTTTTCAAGGAATTTTCTTGAAAGGGTAAAGAGGGAGATGATTACATCCTGTAGTTCGATATTCCTATAAACGGTTTTTAAAAGGAAAACTGGGATAAAATCGTTATTTAGTGAACCATGAATATATTTCTTAGGGTCAAAATATTCAGTTTAAATCCTCATTTTCTTCTTCCAAATCATACATTTGCATCAAATAATGTACACTACTCATTTAAATTCATCCCTTAAATGTGAAGTAGTCATTTAATAAATTGTGATTCATATTAAAACAACTAATCAGTTAATTTTCGTATGACTCTACATAATCTATCATATGCTAATGGGTGAATTAATAATCCACTCGGAACAATAATAAAGCAAAAATAGTACAAAATAGATAAACATTTTGCATTTAAAATGAAACAAACCTTCTTTGTCTCTAAAGATATTTTAAATATGAGCATTGAGTTTTATTTTACATGTTTTTTCCATTCACAAATTATTAAAAATGTGGCATAGTTCCCTTTTCCAAGTTAAAAACTGTTGTTTATTAAGAAATTGTAATTTGCTCAAAGTATCTCTTTGTAAATTGATCAGTTAATCAACAAAATATTCAATAGATGAATTAGTATGTTGAGGCAGTTCATGCTACTGATGAATTAACTTCCTTTTTCTTGCAGGTTTTCTCCTACCATTTTTCTGTTTCTCATAAGTATCATTCCCTCCATCTGGATTCTGGAGCTCCACCACCAAGATAACAAGTCTTTGGACATTAAGGTAGTCCAATAAACCAAAAAAACTTCTGCACTGATGCCTGAAAGCTCCTTCCTTTGCCAAATGTATATTCCTGAGAAATAAAAATAGGAGGGAAAGGCTGCAAAATAAATATCTTTTTATTTCTGAACATGGATTTTTTGTGCTTAAAAACACACACACACACACACACACACACACACACACACACACACACACACACACACACACACACACACACAAAAGAAATGTAACAGTATTGTATGATGGCTCTTTCATTTATTTGCAGTGCAATCGCCTTGATAGTATTCTCAGTGGGATCAACCAGAGTGAAAGTTTGAAAAACCTCACAGTCCTTGATTCTATTAAGGTAAGACAATGAATAATTGATAAAATTTTTATGAGATTGGAGATTCCTTAATAAGGATGAATGAACCAACAGTGAAGTGTAGTTATTTTTAATGGTATGGAGACCATATTACTGCTGATATGGACAGGTATGGCCCAGGGTGGCTATTGTGATGTTCAAACAATTACAATATAAATTACTTTAAAAAACTGGTCAGCTTAATTTTGTTCCTGTTTTTTTTTTTGAAAATGTGATCTAGGGTGCATTTGGACATTTCTTACTCAAAATGTAAATATTTTAAATCTGAATTTGATAATTCCACAAAAGTGTTTTTTTTTTCAGTTTTAGATGAAACTGCTGTATAAAAAAGAAATATAAAGAAAAATAATCAAAACTGATGGTTAAAATTTACCCAAATTATTTTACATATTGCAATAACTTTTTTGTATAAAAAATGGTGAAAGTGTCTTTATATACAGAATGCATGACATCTGGTTGCCAGTTCTGAGGTGGACAGCAGAGCATTTTCAGTAAGCTTGATCTTTTTTGCAGGCACCTGCTGAGCAGTTCAATTCAGTCACAAATGATCCATTTTATGAGGAACTTAAACTTTGGAAACACAATCTAAACTTGATATTATAGCCACCTCTTAAAATCAGTTTACATCTCTGAAAAAATCAGTAAAAGCTACAGTATAGGTGAGTAATTTGTCTTAGTAGTGTAGTACTCTGAGTTTTGGAGATAAGGAGAAATAGTTATGCTCAAACCTCACGTATAAATTAATGGAGGGTATATTCTACTCCAAAAATTCTATGTGCTATGGGTGTTGGACAATGAGACATGTACAATATTGCTACAAGGTAACTGCACAATGTCCCCAACAAAATACCCAAAATATCAGTTACAGTATTACAGATAAGGACCTCTAATAAAAAAAAAAAAATTCCGTGTGACTTTCTGCTTGATAAACAGTTGCATAAGTTGATACAAAATCACAAAAAATGACTCCTGGTTGGTACAACATATCTCTAAGGTGAGTAGAAAGTGGTCAAGTTGGAGAAGTCCACAAGCCAAAGCATGGCTGGTGTAGAACATCCTGAAGTGCATGCAAACTTGGTTTTTAGTTTTTCCCTGTGGATATCTTTTAACTCATGGTTTGTGGAAATCTCTCAGAGGTAAATACAAAGTCCAGCATAATTAGTAAAAAAACAACTGTACTTGTATTCTATGTGCTGAGTACAATGGCATGGTCAGCATTAAATAACCACCTCTAAAGAAAAAAATATACTCCCCCCTCTTACCACAGTCTACAAGGAGAAGAGAATCAGCCAAAGTCTGTGCAAGTCATTGCCAACATCTTGATTCCAGATGTCTTGATGGCTCTGAGCAGCCCAGTAAAATAGGAGGGACTGCATTTGGCAGGTGGTCAAGATCTTATAGCAGATTCTTAGATAGTGTGTCTATGACAAAGCGTGAAGAAACAGATTACCAGCAGGGGAACAACCCCACCCTTATTACCCAGGAAAAGGAAACAGGATAAAAAAAAAAAAACTTTGAAAAAAAATGGTGTCATGATTGGTTTTGCTTAGTTTTAGCCCCCAGGAAGCAATAATCCTGGATGACATAATCTGTTTTTTAAGAGCATGTTTAGAAACACTCAACCATTTCAACTTGTAAATTTATCCAAGGAGAAAGAAATAATAAAAAAAAGATAATAGATCTTCTGGTTTTCTGACTGTATTTAAGGTTCAAACTTCTAAGGAGTTTTTCACTGGTGGCTATATTTCCAGTCTTTAGCTCTAAATATATTATTTCCTAGTGCTCCACGGGAACACTTTTCAAGAGGAAAACGACATACTGTAAGAAAATAAGGAAATAATAATAGTATTAACCAAATGGAAATATATATATACAGATATAATGTAAATAAGATTATCAATAGTAAAATATAAAAATAATAATCAAAAAACGGACCAAAATAATACAAGAAAAACAAATGCAAAGTTGAACAGTAAAGTTAAAAGGATTTAAATCTACAGAAAGTCCATAAAAAATGATGTATTAGAGTGGTGGTTTTATTGTAGTTTTGCTTGTTTACATTTTTATTAGTTTCTTTTTTGTTTGTTTGTTTGTTTGTTTTATTTATTTTATTGTGGTTTTCTATACATTTAAAAATGTCCTTGGTTTGTACAGCACTTTGTGGCAGCTGTGGTTGCTCTAAAAATCAAACAAAAACAAAAAAACATATAAAAATGATTTCAGAAAGAAATAAGAAACAAAATATACTGTAAACGGAATAAAAGCTACTAAAACCCAGTAAAAAATGAAACAAAAGGAGAGCTACAGACAGTTTAAAACTCTTATATCAAATTTGTCTTTAGTTTTTAATTAAAAATGTTTGGAAAAAATGTTTTTCCTCCATCTAGTTGAAAGCAGTGCTTTGGAGTTTATGGAGTTTGGTTCACAGTGACCTTTTTACTCTCAAATTGCAGACGTTACCATCTATTGACATTCATCCAGTACACAATATTTATTCTGTATTCACTTGGGGGTGTATTAATTTGTACAACTGGGCCAGAATTTTTTCTTGAAAAAAGACTTTTTTAATTCAGTATTTTTTTCTTAAAGTTTAAACTAGTTAAAATAAAGCTGCAAATATAAATGTTTAACAACATATGATTTAAATTAAGTTGTCTATTGAAAATAAAATGTGTTAAAGGAAAGAAAATGTGAATGTGATGTTACCATCAATTTTAAGGATGATGGGAGTTATAGGATACTGACCTATGAACTGGAGGGATCAGCAATCACCAAAAATTTATGTTTAATAGAGCTACTTTTATTGTTTCTTTTTATTTCTGACTTTCTTTTAGATATTGTCATTTTGAAATCTATAAATACTAAGATGACCTATATGAGTAAAACTGTATGATAGAACTCTCTATAAATGATTAAAAAAGAAGAGCAACAGAATAAAAGGAAATTTTAAACTTCGCCCACTAGAGAGTCTGATCATTTTCATTTTCTAAGCTGTTCTTAGTTTTACATCCTATTCAATTCAATTCAATTAAAAAATACTTTTTTAATCACAAAGGAAAATTAAAAGTTGCAGTAAGGTTATTTTTTTAACCAGCTATTGTAGGTGTAGATAGCTGTAGACAGGAAGGATCTTCTGTCTTGCGCCAGATCTGGAAAAGCTTCTTACTGAAGACACTTTGTTGTTGTTTAAAAATCTTCTGAAGAGCTTACTGTTCTCCATAATTTTCTTCACAGTAGTTTACCTTCCAGTTTAAGCTTTTGGTTGCATGACCTTATGACTGAGAGTTTACTCTACTATTAAGGACTATGATGTCCTTAGCTGTATTCATAATCAAATAAGATACAATAGAAAATCCCTTTATTGTTCAAAAATTGGGAAATTGTGTTGTTATAGCAACATTACAGCAAAAGTGGTCACACAAATGTGGACCTTACACACCGTGTGTAGAATTATTCGGCAAATTAGTATTTCGACCACTTCATCCTTTTCATACATGTTGTCCTACTCCAAGCTGTATAGGCTTGAAAGCCAATTACCAATTAAGTAAATCAGGTGGTGTGCATCTCTGTAATGATAAGGGCTGTGGCCTAATGACATCAACACCCTATATAAGGTGTGCTTAATTATTAGGCAACTTCCTTTCCTTTGGCAAAATGGGTCAGAAAACAGATTTGACAGACTGTGAAAAGTCAAAAATTGTCAGATGTTTTTCAGAGGTGTGCAGCAGTTTAGAAATGGCCAAGTTTTTGAAGCGGGATCATCGCACAATCAAGCGGTTCATGGCAAATAGCCAACGAGGGAGCAAGAAGTGTGTTGAAAAAAGAAGAAGCAAAATAACTCCCCATGAATTGAGAAGAGGGCATTCTCCCGCTTTTACTATGTAAGAAATAAAAAATATTATATCAATTATTAATACATTAAAGTTTTTTTTACAATTTTTTACCATTTTCCTAAGAATTGGTTGAATGGACTACGGTATAAATATCTCATTGTAAAGCGTTTCCAAGGTAACCAGCTCGAGCCACAAAACTTGCAGCTGATATAAAGTATAATTTCAGAGGAAGTCAGCACAATAACTTAGAACAATCAGGCTATTTGATTAGAAGGTTTTCCTGTTATTTCCATTAAACATTTTAACAGAAACCCTTCAGTGAATCAGAATGGGGTAGTCATCCAGACCATGTTAAAACGTAATCCTCTTTCTGCAACCAGGTTTCTCAAAAACAGAATAGATTAACCTGATAATCACAAATCAAGTCTCTACTCACTCTTAGTGAGTCTTTGAGTAGAAAGCTTATGTTCAATAAAGAACAATTAGTTACTAATCAGTAGTAAAATTGTTGAAATAGTTGTTTAGGAACAGTAAATAAAACCAAAGTATTACCAACATATAAGGTCATTAGCACGTGACAAGCACATGATAAGCACAAAGATTTTTTGTGCATTTTTGTCAGTTTTCGTGCTTTTAACCTCAAGTAAATTATAACTCAATAATTTGCCTTTACATGTCACCTAATTAGAAATATTCCACATATTAGATTAAATCTCTCAATAAATCCAGTTGTTCTCAGTAGGATTTATTAACATTAGAGAACAAATAGGATTGTGGAACCAATAAATACAGCTCAGAGATAAGGGATGATGTTATGGCAGCAGGTTCTAAACACTATCTTAGGCTTTAAAGTGTTCACAAAGCTTTGTTCATTCATCTGAGAAAAGGGAAATGCATGGAATATCTACATACAGTGTAGTATAGATAAAAGGAAAACAAAGTAGCCTATGATAAGTTTGGAGGAGCAACAGAGATCCACAGCTCAAGTTGGACAATGTGTTGACCTAAGTGACCACCACAATCAAAGCTGGAGATTTCTCTCTAAATACCTAGGAAATTAACTGTTATCATTTCTGGTTCTGCTGGAGGTTTCTTCCAGTTAAAAGGGAAATTTTCCTCTCCACTGTCACTACAAGCATGCTTGGTGTGAGGGATTGCCTTCGAGTGAATGAGTCGATGCAATCAGCTGTTTTTTCTTAAATAGAAAAATTGGAATCTATTTGACTGTATGATCTGGTTGAATTCTAAAGTACCTTGAGATGACGTGTTGTGAATTGGCACTATATAAATAAACTGAATTTAGGTGAATAATGTATTTTATTTAACAGAAAATCACATGTGCACATTTTTTTTATAAAAGAAAATGAGACAAAACTATTTAGTGGTTAGATATAAATGAAATAGTTAATAGCTAACCAGTTCCTGGATAGAGGGCAATGTCAGAGCAGATCACAAAATTTGAAGCTTAAAAAAAATAATAATAACCCTTGTTTTTGTTAAAAAGAGTGAGGAAAGTACCCCTGTGGATAAATAATAAGTGGGGTGAATAAAATCTGCCAGGAACAAAAAGGAAAGGAAAAAATGCATGTTTCTCTGGTGAAAAATCACTTTATCCTTTTTCCTCAGTTCTTTTTTTCTTCGCCTCTAAGACGACAATGTAGAAACCAGAATGCTGGGTGCCTCCACTGTCGTCACAGTCCATTGCTGGAATCATCATAGCGCAATGATGCTGCAAAGGTTTAAAGTAGATATGGTTGAGGCAGGTCGACAACACGCTAACCTATCAGGACTCCAGAAAAACTTGTTGCAATTTCTCTGTTAGGTGCTCCGACTTATTATTATTATTATTATGGATGTACTCCTATCGTCATATATTTACACACAGTGTAAATGACAGCTTGGTTTTCATTTTAGCCTACGAAGTTAGTGTCGTTAGCTTTAAGAGTGTGTGGTAGCATGTATACTGCTGTTTCTTTAGGTGTAGATGTATGTTACTACCTTACAGTTCATGGAAAATTTGCAGAAGTTTTTGCCACAAACTGTCATGTACCCTTCGTGTCAGTAAATGACGACAGGTGTACCATTGTCATGTCAGAATCTGAAGGGACTTGACCAAGCATCTATATTTGGTAAGTTAGGAGTGGGACTGTATTGTCTAAATCAGTGGTCACCAACCTTTTTACAGTTGAGGGCTAATTCAGGTGTACTGAGTCACAGGAAGGGCTACCAATACTGACCTATGAATGGCAAGGGTCAACGTTCTTCTAAACTTCATACATTATAAAAATATCTTTATCATTTCTTTAAATTTCTAATTTTCTTTTAGACATTTTAATTTTGAAATCTCTATACATGCTTAAATGCCATATATGATTAAATGATGAAATGTTCTATAACTGATTAAAAAAAGAAGAGCAACAGAATACAGTGAAATTTCAAACGTAGCTCACTGTTGAGTCATTCTATTTTCAGAAGACTCTAAGGGCACCCCTTGTGGTCCTTGAGGGCCCCTTAGTGCCCACGGGCACCATGTTGGTGACCCCTGGTCTAAATGATGTTCTGCTTGAGTGAATACTTTTTTGTAATAAAGGAAACAAAACAAACTTGCCTTCAGGTTAATAACTAGAGGCCTAAGAGCAATAGAGTGTAAAAATATTTTTCCCATCGCATGAGTTGATCAGTGCTCCATTACCTTGCATCTGAGACATAAGGTTTTCTGGGCGATAAGACAAAAGACTATGGACCTTATGTTTAAATGTTTATGTTTAAATAAATGTTTAAATAAATAAACTGTGCATGAAATAAGTGGGCGTGATCTACATCCAGGTATTTAACCCTGGTCCTCAGGTCCCCTGCTTCCACACACCTAACCTGAATAAAAAAGTGATCAAAAGGCTTTTTGCTGCATTTTCTTGTTTAACCAATTTTTCTTGAAACACTAAGTAAAAGTAATTTGATAATTTGCCGGGGTGCCGCCCAAAATGTACAAACTAACCCCAGTGTTAATCCAGCTATTCTCTGAAAACTCTTTTTTAGACCATCTAAAATACATTAAAAAAAAAAGCTCTGTTCAGTTCATCATCCGAGAAAGGAAAGTGAATCGCTTGACAAGATAACTATTACTCTGGACTCAGACTTGGCTAAATCAGGACTTTAGCATAAAAATTAGTCATTGATTTTAAATAAAAGCCCTTTCTCCAGATGTAGATAGCATAGCAAACACATAGAATAATGTCGTTCATTGAGAGAAAACCAAAGCTAAACTTTCTTTCCTTTATGCAAAACTCTATTTGGGTGATAACTAGCACTGCATATCACTTTGAAGACAACATAATTGCTGTAAAACATGGAAGTGCAGCATGGTGCTGTGGGGTGATTGTCCTCTGCAGGGGCGACAAAGTTGGTTGCAGTTCATGGTACGACATGCAGAGTTAGATCCAGTACAACCCTGGAAAAATGCAAGACTGGACCCCTTCAGACATTACTCTGACAATTTGTCACAAACTCTTATGTCGTTGTGCTCTATATCCTATTAACCAGCAAGAGCTATTGAAAAAGGGAAAACATTTAGTAATTCGAAGAGTAACACTAACAGCAGCCTGCTGCCAAAATACTTGCAGCTGTGTTCAAACAGGGTTCTACCTATTATTTAGATAAAATCTCTACTGCAGTTTTACAGTATCTACTTTTAAAAATAATATAATAACATAATGATGATAATGTTTATTTTTAGTTATTTATCATCCTATGTTTGAGTATCACATAAAATCCCATTAGGATACTACATTTAAGGTTGTGGCTGAAAAGTTACAAAATGTGAACAGGTGACACACTTTTTAGTTACTGTAGATGTGCTCTTGCCTGACAGGTTTTTACAAATTGATGATTTAAAGTGAAATATTGTGAAATGAGTTTTTTCTATTGTACCTACCAAGCAAATAAAGAAATTTCTCAAATAATAGAAATTCTTTCTCTCGTTGCTCCTCTATTTTTCCAGAATTGGGGTAACATGTTTTCAAGTGTCTGCCAGAACAGCTGGATCCTGGCTCTTCATCAGATTGTGCTCATCCTCGTCATCATAGGGAAGTGGATTCTCCCTTTGGGTGGTGGGGTCTCTAGAGATCAGCTGTCTCAGCTTCTGCTTATATTTGTTGGCACAGCAGCAGACATCCTGGAGTTTACCAGTGAGACAAAGGATGATATACAGTAAGTGCTGCTTTCCCTTCTTATATGTTTCCCACTTCTGCCTTTTTTACACATTTTAATCCATGTTATAGTAAAAACAGCAACTTAGATTGTAAGTTTATCGAATCTTGGCACCCAGAATCCTTTCTGCTTGTATTTTGCAGAAACAGACCTCAGCTGGTCTACGTCATCCTAGCTGTGTGGACTTGGAGCATGCTGCAGTTCCCCTGTCATCTGTGTGGTCAGTCTCTGCTTGGTTTTTATAATGATAACATCCATGCTTTTTGAGGAGGTACAGCAATCTCAGACAATCCAAACAATGTTATTAGAGAAAACTCTACAGTGAAGTCCGTGCTTTCAAGCTGGTACTCTAAGTAAACAGACTGGTTTTTATCTCTGTTGCTGTCCAATCACAAACTCTGAGAAAACTAGACTACAAAGGAATTATGAAGTCTTTTAAAAGACAGACATGCCCAGACTCACACGTCTGATGACAGATCAGAAGATATTTAAGAAGATAATGATGATCTAATGAGCTGAAATTGATGCAGGAGGGAGTTATCCAGTCGCTGTCTGTCCTGATAAGCTGGGCCAGCTGATGGCAAAAAAAAAAACACAAGGAGAGATTGTGTAATTTTTGTTGAGACTTGTTACAGTCAGAGCAATATTAACTGTGTACCTAAAGACTTAAGAAAGGTAGAATAACCTTTTTTTTCTGAGGAATCAGCACAGACACAGTTATATTGTGTAAATATAGTAATCTTACTCCTTAATGCTAAAATATGAAAATGATTAGAAATGTTACTTTTGTACCCAGAGTACACAGAACTTAACTGATAACCAATGAACACATGTTTAGATTGGCCGTAAACACAAAATGATGGCTCACAAAAACTTGTGGTTCAGATTCAGTCTTAGTGGCCAAAGAATTTCCACACAATCTTTGTTTCCCAGCTGTTTTGTGTTAAACATACCTCAGTAAAGTTTAATCAGTTTATTCTGAGACAATGTCAAAATCTCTCTTCTTTGGAAGCTGAAGATTATGCTTGGCCTTGGTGATGTACTTATTTGAAACAAATCAGTTAACTGCCAAAAAAACCCCAGGAGTCTGAATGCCAGAGGGATGGTTTTGCTTTGCAGAAGAATAAAACTGAAAACAATCAGTCCATCTGTACTGTATGAGTCAACGCAGGAGACTTGATAAACTCTCAGACATGTGCAAAGCTAACGGTCATTTCCTGTCGAACACAAATAACTCAACAGAATTGCACCCCTTCATGGATTCTTAAGAAAATTTAGTCGAACTTAGATGAGGTAAGGAAGAGGATGTTAGTTTGTCGCAGGGGTTGTGGGTTTCTAACCTAATTGTTTCTTAATGACTTGGAATGACTCAAGTGACTGAAGTGCCCAGCAGAATCAAAGCTGGAAACTCTCCAAATACCTTGAAATTTAGCTGTTATCCTTAATGAAGTATTATCTTTACTAAAAACGGCAGTGCATTAAAGAAAAGAGACAAAACTAAGTGGTTAGATATAAATCAAACATTCAACAGCGCAGACACAGAGCAAATGGAAAAAAATGAAAGATGTTTAAGAAAAAAAAAAACAATAACATCCCTTATTCCAGTTAAAACAGCGTGGGAAGTACAGTACAGTTGTGGGTGGATAATCTATCTGCCAGGAACGAGGATAGAAAAAATGCACTGATTCTCTAGAGTAAAATCACTTTTTTTCTTTTTACAGATCTTTTATTCTTCTCCTCTAAGTAGATGGTATATTAGGCAGCATGCTGTATGCCTTCACTCAGAATTTGCTGAAGAGAGCAGACTCCTCGTCTACTGCATCTTCAGTTTACAGATACAGAGAGGGATGCCAAGGCCAAGTAGCTTTATTGTTTAGTTGTACAAGCAAGGCCTCACATATGAATTGATAGAGATTAACTGGATGATGGTTTTCACAATGTGTGGTTGTGTTATAATTGATCCAGAAATAGCCAGAGCAAGTCAGTTCCCACCATGAATTTAGCCAACACACACACACAAAAACAGTTTATAAAGGGCAAGATGGTGGCCGGCCGAATCCAAATTTCTTTGTACATAAAAATGGAAACCTAAGAACCACAGCGGAGGCTCATCTAATGAGAAATTTAACATTCTATACATTTAAAAAAACATTACCACTATTCTACATTACATTATTCTACTTTCTGCTTTCAACTCACATTGCCAGGTGGAATAAATGGGAATTTCCAAACTGTTTAAGTATGAAAAATGTTCAAAGCACATGTTTTCAAATATTATCATTGTCATATTTTTATCTAGGAGTGGATTACAAGTTAATCCAACACAGTAACCTCCAAAACCTATTGTCCACATTACCCAGTGAGTTCATACAGATTACTATATGCTCCCAGGTCAAAGGAGATATAGTCTCCCAAGGAGGGAGGAAACTAGATTAAAAATCTTGCCAATTTTATTTCGGAAAAAAAAAAACAACTTCACACTCTCTTCATGAATTCTAAAAGTTTAGATTTGGGGATGTTGACCCAGATGAAAAGGGTTATTGTATAACAGTTCAGTCACATTCATAACCGTAAAAATAACAAAGATATATTCAAAGAAGTGTTTTGCATGTATAAACATCATTGAAACACCTCTTCTTATATGTAGTGAAATGTAGACTACGTAACTAAATTAGTGTAGAGATATGTCAAGCCTCAGAATGTTGGACCCAGAATTCAGGCAGACAGACTGACGTGATTTATAAAAGCATTTATTGACTGCTTGAAAAATCCGTGGCTCAGCAGCTAGGACGAAAAATGCCAGAATCTCTGTAGAGGGGAAAAGACAGGTTAGTGACCACGAAACTCTCTCTAACTCTGACGGATGACGACAACGAGCGAAGCACTAAGTTCAGTCCAAGTCCAGAGGAAGAAGTGGAATCCAGCTGGATGATGTTCCACAGCACATGGTGGCATGGGACCGCCCAGAGAGATCCAGGAGCCAAAGCCAAAAAGGCTGCTGAGTCAGGTGACGAGCAGAAGCCAGCAGACGAGGACGAGCAGGAGTTTCCAGAAGGAGAAGCCAACGCCTGTGTCGATGAGGTAGCAGAAGTCCAGGCCAGAAGATCAGAGATCCGAAGATGTACGGAAGAGAAATCCAAGCCAGGTTCGGGAGACAGATCAAAGGTCGTAAGCAGGCAGAATCCTGCAGGATTCTGAACACAGGTCAGAAAAAAACAGATTAGAACAGGTACAGAAAGGCTCAGAGGTCCAGGAACATAAACTAGTCAGGATCAGGCAATCAGAGTAACAAACTGAGAAAGCTAGAGAGCTCTGCTACGGCTCAAATAATCTGGCACCGATGGCTGGGACCAAGCAGTTTAAGTAGAAGCTGGAACAGGTGGATCTGATGAAGGTAATGAAAACTGGCGGAGTGAGGCAGACAGAAGGAATGAACCAATAATCCAGTCATCAGTGCCAAGATCATGACAAGCTATCCAATCAACCCATTTGCACATTCAGACCACCAAGCTTTTTTTGAAAACTGCGTATTTTATTTACTCCAAAAATGTTTGTTTGAGGGCTGCAGGGTGGGTCAGCTTTCAGCACGTTTGCCTTGCAGCAAGCCGGGTTTTAAATCTTAACTCTATGTCTTTTTACATGGATTAGCCTGTTTTTGCTGTGCATGCTCATGTTCTCTCTGGGTACTCTTCCTTCTGTAGTTCAAAAAATGAATGCTAAATAAAATGGTTGCTCTAAGTTCCCTTTAGGTGTAAGTGTGTTGGTTTGTGTATATATGTGAGTGGGGTTGTTCTCGGTTGTGTGACTCTGTGCTGTCCTATGATGGACTGGTGATATGTGGTGCACTACGTTTCTCAGCTCCAGGCAGACATCTCTGTCTGATACTGATCATGTTTAGCAGTTTTTTGTTTTGTTTTTTGTTTTGTTTTTATTCTAAAACATTTAGCAGATTTGCCTAAGCTAAAATGGAACAAATTAGTAGAGGTAAATTATTAAGAACCGTACTATCAATCAACATAAGCATGAGACAGCCTTGTTTTTGTTGAGTTGGGTGGTTATTTCCTGTATAGCACAATGGTGTATTGTTTCTAAATATGCAGGACAGTCCAATCATGAGAAAAAACAAAACCAAAATAACCTGCTTTTTTTTCAGTGGTGAGGACCATGAGCAACGAGGCAGCTGATGAAGGCATCCGGGAAGACTCCCTCTGGTCCAAACACAGCACTGACCTATGGAGCATCGTGGAGACCCTGTTCATTCAGGATGGCCCCTTCCTGGTAGTCCGGCTCACCTTAATGATATACTTTGGTGTTTTTCACCAAATGCTTATTTTCTTTTCCTTTAAAAACTTCCTGGTTATCATCCTCAGCGTGTACAGGTTGTTTGTTTTATACCTGGACTTCAGGTCCTCCAGTCACAGCAGCTCTGACTAAAGAGTATGAATCTCTGACAGGGTGGAGAGATGTCAGATCTAGGATGTTATAGAAATAGCTTACAGGCAGAAATACTTACATGTGAAGCAGGGAATAAATAATTTTGTGTAATTCTGTCTTCTGTTCTAACACCTTACCTTATAGCTACAGGGTGTAAACAATTAGCTGAAAATACCTGGTATTGTTCAGATCTAAAAGAATAACCTGCTTTCTGTTACCTAAAGGGATAAAGCTGAATTTATAACTTTGTTCATTTCAAAACACACAGTTTTATATTCTTAACTTTCTATTTAAAATATCAAACTTAATTAGAGTGCACACATTTTCTGTCACATATTAAATAAAAGATCAAATTAAACAGTAAACAGGGTACATTAGACAAAATGCTCAATATAATAATGTTTCTAATATTTATTGCCATAAATTGTGTTACAACAAATGAATATTTGACTGAATGCAAATATCCTGATTTTCCTCTGATTTATTTATTCAAGATCACATTTAAAATGCTAATGTTCAGCCATTTCTTTTTATGAGCCATTTTCACCCAAGGGAAAATTTAAGTTAGGGTTACATTGAAAACATATAAATATAAGAGTGTAAGTTGTTCTTAAAATAAGTTAATTTTCCCTTGACTTCAGCAGATAAATAAAAACTATTTCCCAAAGGAAAATATGAATAAAGAGCTTCACCATCTTATTTCAAGTGCATAATATTAAATGATCTTGATCTAAGGGCAGAAATAACTGAATCCATTGGCGGATCACCGTATTTACCAACTCACATTAAGCAAATACACCTTTAGGGAAATGTACTTATTTTTAGATCAGTTTATGCATACATAGTGGCATCCAGTGTTAGGGTCTGTCATTACATTCCTTTTTTCTTCCCATAACACATAACACAGAAAGCTAACTTTTTTAGCTTCCATTCAATATCTGGAAAATATAAACAGGGATTTACAATCATCACATTCACTTCAACTGACTCATATTGATGCAGAAGTGTAGCATTTCTACATTTCTATATTGAGAGAGCTGCTGCCTCTATCTTTTGTAATGATGTACTGTATATTCTATGCTGGATGGCAATTAATTTTGAAAAGCAATTTGATCTACATTAATTGTATTAAAAGAGCTTTATAAATAAAGCTGAAGTAGTTGATTTATTGATCTATGGAGCAAACTAGCATCAGTTGCCTGTTTGCAGAATCTCTTCAAAGATGATATCTATCTCATGACACCCATTTAGAAAGTGAAATTCCTATACTATATAGATTTGATCAGGTATTTTGTTGTCATTTTGTGAAATGTGATTTTCAGGGAACAAAAAACAAAAATTAAATGTCAGAAAATTTGAATATCGCACAAGATCAATTAAAAGGGATTTTTTTTTGTAAAGTAATTATCCTATAAACTATTTACATGTGCACTTAAGACTCTTTTTGGGCTAATTTTGCATTAATTATTTAGTGGAAGTGATCATTCGTTGGCTAAGGTTTTAAAAAAGCCAGGTAGCATCCTTTAGCTTATCTGCAGTATTGAATCTGGTGTCTCTCATCTCCTTTAACAATTAGCCCTCTATGGAATGTAAAATTGAGCCATATCTGTCCAGATGCTAAACCTGAACCAGAACTGGACTAAGAGCAATGATCATTGTTTCAATATTATGTCTAATGTCTTAAAAACTGTTTTACTGTTGTTAGGTTTGTTTTTTCATTTGATGTTTTGCTCATTGTAATGTTAAGTATAACTTTGTCATGTTTTGCCTGTTGAAACATTTTTTTAAAGCATTTATTATTTTAAAGTATGTACTGTATCATGTTACCGTAACAGATTTATTCAACCTCGCATGACTGTGAATGCAAATGAGGTGAAATTGTATAAAACATCTAAGCATGTATTTTGTAAAGCAAATGCGGCATACAGCAGCACTATGAGAACCTGAGAGCAAACTTTGACTCAGAGAGAAATAACCAGTAAAACAAATTCACTAGTGTATGTTGAATATTTTAGCATGATGTAACAAACAGCTTTTACCACCATTGAGTTGGAACAAGAAGAGCCTGGGCCTGATACCTGCCTGGGATCTTTAAAAGGGAGTTTTCCTCTCCACTGTCACTACAAGCATGCTTGGTGTGAGGGATTGCAAGGAGTCAAATAAATCAACTGGTTTTCCATAGATAGAAACCCTTGAACCAATCTGACTGTATAATCTGGTGGAATTGTCTCTGTAAATAACTTGAGATGACATGTGTTGGGAATTGGCACTATATAAATAAACTAAATTGAATTGAATCTTTTTGAATGGAATTTGCATGTTCTCTTTATCCATGTATGAGTCTCTATGATTACTTATTCCTTTACCCACAGCTCAAAAATATGCATGTTAGGTTAATTTAAATAAAAAAAACATTATTGCGTGGTAGTTTGTTGGAAGCCCTGGCCAACAGTTCTGGCTTTACCCAGCCTCTCGCCCTCTGGAGATAGATCTGCAAGAATATATTGGTGAAGAGAATGGATTGATTGTTACAAACCTCAAATCCTAAAAGGCAACCTTCTTATTGTTTATCAGTGTCAAACTTGTCTTAAAATTCTTGTTTGATAGTGCCTCAAAATGCCTTCAACTCCCAATAAAACCCTCACAGCAGCTGCTGTCAATCTGACTTTTTTAAATGCATTCCCTGTCATTGTCACTAGGTGTCCTCCTTGTTTCATTTTAGCTCTTTTTTTTCTTCCTCAGTATCAGAGTTTGCATATTTTTCTTACCTTTTTAATGAAACTATTTTCTCTGTTGCCTGTCTGCTTCATGTTTAAGTCTGTTATCTGTTATTCTCACCCTCAAAATATTTTCTCCAGCCACTGATTTAATCACCAACTCGAAAACAATAGTGAGGCTGAAGAATAAAATGGCATAATTGTTACCTTATTCTGTGTGTGCAGGATATGAACTTATAAAATAAACATATGAGCAGTAATTATAGTTTTTGTTTACCTCTCTAACACATGCACAAATAAAGGATATTTTATATTTCTTCGATCTATAATAAAATGAGATACGAGGTATTAATTTTTTATGGGTTGAAACTGCTCGAAGAACAAAGTTTATGGCAAACAGAATAAAATAAAAATAGTTTTTATGTCCGTAAAAGTGATAATCCATGTGCAGAAGATAGCAACGGTCACACAAACAACTTCCAACGAAGCTGTGATTCACCTTTTCACCTTTAAATCCATTATATAATCTTTAATGAATAAGATACTGGAACACCTGCAAATTCTCAGGTGTTGGGAAACTGAGGCAGAGACACACCCCTGACTGGAGCGAGCTGTCCATCTGTATACATTTCACAAAAAACAGAAAACAATTTGTAGTGGTTATTTGAGTCAAAGCGCAATTCAGCAGTATAAGAAGGTTGTCCGTTTTAGTAATTATAACACATTTGTATGTTATGCATATGTTCAGGGGGAAGAAAGAGGAAGTAGCATGGAATAAATGAAGAGACAGTGTTATTGTTTGTCCTCTGCTGTAAAAATTAGCAGCTGTTTCTCATGACAACATTGGTCTGTACCAGCTATAACAGCAATGTCCATGACTAACTACACCTCCTCAGTACAATGATTGTGTTTAGTAGGAAAAAAAAATCCTCTCCGCCATTTTACAAAGGTGACTCAGAAACAGGTTTATTTGGCTTCTTAATTCCTCAGAATCCAAATGAAGTGGAGTCTAACAGATGCAATAAAAACATAGTACTAACTCATATGTTACAGACCTTGAGACTTTGCCACCTAGTCTGGGTGAAATTCAAAGCCCTCCTTAAGATTATGAGTGGGCAGATCTTGGGTTTTAACTTCATAAAACTAAAAATAACTTCTGGATATGCAGATACAGAAAATGGTTTATTATGACTGAAGAAAAATAAACTTTTCCTGGAATTATAAAATGGTATATTGCTTCCAGACCTTGTTAAAAGTGAGATTATAGCTGGAGATACAATATATTGCACTATTCTTTAGTACTATTCTGAAGGCTAATCTCTTGCTTAACTTGACCTGCCAAGTAAAATGATAGATTGCCTCAGTTTTGCTCCCTTTTTGTCATATTACCAGTGACAATGCAGTGTGGAATATTTGGTATTAATATAATTGATAATAATCATAGCTGCCATTCCCTCAGAAAGACAAGCGGTTTATTTGCTTTTATACAACTCTGGCCATAAACAGGCTACTGGAACATATATAATTAATCATTTACATAGTTCTCAGTTTAGAAACAATCATCCTCAACAAGAGATGTAATCATTTCAAACAGACATTTTATCTTCACCCAGAGTTCAAATAATCCTCTTACAATATTTTTTTAAAGCAAAGCATAACTAATTTGTTTTTCTATTTCTGAAACATCTACTTAAACTTGATAACTAGCAAACACTCATTTATTGTTGCTCACTTTAACTTATTTTACCTCTTGCTAAAAGTCAAAATAAATGCCAGGCAGTTAGGCAAACCTCACAAATAAAACCATTGAAATGTTAGGTTTCCTTGTTTTATCAGCATTTATTAAAAGGTATACCATTTTGAATAAATCATAATAACAGCAATCTCTACTATAAAACTGTAGTATTTAAATATTCCTAACAGGAATATCCTAATTGGCATATAATATTGCTGTATTTTCTCTAACTGCAGGTTTGTGAGGATGCACCAACGCATTGGTGTTGCTGGACCTATCAATACCTGACAGCTTGGTCCCTGACAAGGGAAAAGTATAATATTTGCTTGTTGTTTTTATTTAGGTATATAGATAGTAGTTCACGGATGCCCGCGAGTCGGATAAATGATCCTGGATTTTAGACTCTGCAAGGTGGTGTTTTTTTAATGCAAGCGAGAGCTTGCAGGCAATACAATAACTCATGCATCATGTGGGGATTAGAACTACTTCGATTGTGCAGACAACAAGAGAGCGCGGGGTTTGAGGAGGAGGTTGCTGGTGAAACCTGTGCAGCGTATCTGTTCAAAGCGATGCTCTGTTCAACCTGCATTCCAGGCGACTGGTTGTCAGAGAGCTGATTGGATCAGTCTGATAAGTTTGGGGTTACTTTCTGGCAGTCACCTAGTTACCACTCAAAGCTATGCATCCTGTGAAACCGCAGAGGTCGAATCCTCGAGTAAAAAACGAAATTATGAGACTAATTTTACAGCAGAATAGACTAAAGTATATCCACGTCTAGTGAAGGTGAGCAACAGTGGTGGATCTAGACCAAATGTAAGAGTGGGTCAGGAGGGGGCCAGCATGTTTTCATGGGGGCACAGAAAAGCATGAAATAAAAAAACAGGGCAAGTGATTCAAATATATTAAGAGAGCTGCATGAAGGGAAATTAATTTTCAATTAGGTTC